GTTGGTTGCTTTAGTTCTGTAGGACGTTATACTTGTATGCTCTGTCCCCCTCATCTACATACGTATTTCAGATTTAGTTTTACGGTGACATAGGTTTAATGCTCATGATCGGATTGGTTATTCTGCAGTCACCTCTTGGTTTGATGGACTCTGTCCTCCAACAGTGGCCCCCAGGAGGGCTCACTGATAAGAGCCGTTCCTGAGTTCCTCTATGCTCAGAATATTTGCCTCTTGCTTTTACACTTGAAAGGTAATTTGGCTGGTCATATATGCCTTGGGACCCACCTTCTTTCCTATGATGACAGTAAATTCATGATCTCCCAAGGCATTTTATTTCATTGTTAGATATCTCAACTGTAACCAGGTGAGTTTTGTTTCTTTTTGTAACTTTTGTGAAAATTGGTCTCCTTGAGAACTTCCAAAGAAGCAGCCTGTCTTCCCTGCCACATAAATCCCCAATCTAGGCTGAAAGTACCAAGTCATTGAAGGAGAGTTCTAAAAGCCAAAATGTCTCCAAAAAGCCTTTTTAGTAGACTCAATGATTTGTTACTCAGTAACGAATTACATCTTCCTTGCCCTCCTCCTTGTGTGGTACCCAAGTGCTGTTTTAAAGCAAGTTATAGGCGGCCTGGGTGACTCAGTGGGTTAAGCATCTGCCTTCACCTCAGTTCATGATCTCGGGGTCCTGGGATCGAGCGCCACATCGGGCTCCCAGCACAGCAGGGAGCTTGCTTCTCCTTCTCCCTCTGTTGCTCCCCCTGCTTGTGCTGTCTCTCTCTCTCTTTCAAATAAATAAATAAAATTAAAAAAAAAAAAAGAAACTTCTTAAAAGAAAATAAAACAAGTTAGAGTAATCCTTTCAGAGATAAAAGGGACCACTGGGATCATCTACTGCAAAGGTCTTATTTTAGGATGAAGAAACTAAAGCCCAAGGAAAGGTAGAGAGAGTTCTCTAAGGTCATGCCATTGCTAGGAAGCTGAGCGTGACCTTGAATCCCAGAGAATACCAGGCAAGGGTTCTTTTCCTTTCACCAACTCCTCCAAAAATAGAATGATCAATTTTTGTGTGTGGTGAGAACATTTAAGTTCTTCTCTCTTATGTGAGCTGATGGATATGTTAACTAATCTTACTGTGGTAATCATTTTGCAGTATATATGTGTACCAAATCATCATGTTGTATACCTTAAATGTACATAATGTTATATATCAATTATCTCTCAATAAAGCTAAAAAAGATACAATGATCAAAATTGTTTCCTTGCACCTAAAGAATTTAATGTACGTCCTATGACATACAAAAATCTACCTAATGTCTGGTTGAAAATTATTATTTCATGTCTCATTCTAACTATGTATGGAGTGACTCATGCAGGATAGCTGTACTAGAGAATTTTCAGTGGGTTTATTGTTCATTTACATTACATAATTACATAAATTGTCACTTTCATTTTCTGTTTCTTGAAATTGAGGAACTTCAGATAAATGTAGATTTAGTTTTCTTACCCCAAACTCTCTAAACCATCATTTTAAAATCAAATTACACAGTTTATGCTTAAAACATAAGGGCCAGATTCTATCTTCAAATATACCACCCACTCTCTAACAGCAGAATTTGGCCCTAAAAACCCATTAACAAATATTGTCATTAAACTAAAGAGCTAATTACTTTGGATTCAGACAGAATGAACAAAATCATAGGCCAACCGCAGCTGGTGGTAATAATGGTGAGACTAACCGTATGTTACACTGGAGATTTAAAGAACAAAGACGTATTAACACTAATGTAACCAAACATATAAAATTATCCTCTAAATGGAGAAAGCTATTATAGTGGAAAAATTCTTGAAAGCACATTGGAATTATCTGATACATGAAATAAAGGATAATTCTAAGGAATTAATTGTCATAATTGGAAGTTATCAGTATTTAATGAAGACAGAAACTTGAAAATTTTAGTGTCTTGCAATATCTACAAATGAAGAGTTATATCTAAGAATCATTTTCTCTTATTGGAAGTACTATCCTCACATTTAAATCAGTTTAAACTACAAGATTCAAGAGCTTTGCTTTATGGCTATTTTAAACAAAGGTTATCAGGACTACCTTATAGTTCTATAAAAGTAAATTTCCCAGATAACTGAATATTTTCCCAACCCTTGAAAAATATTTTTAAATTACATTAATAATACATAATTTAGAAAAAGTTTTACATACCCTGAAAAGCAATAAGAATCAAACGAAATTTATCAGTTGAACATAACCATTAATAGTATTTTGCTATATATCATTCCAATTTTTTTCCTATGCATCTGTCACTTTTTTAATAAAAATGGAACTACATTGAAACATGGTAACTTGTTGCTTTCATTTACAGTGTACTATGAGCATTTCGCCCACATCAATAATTATACTTTTACTACATAAATTTTAATGACTTAGCAACTTCTTAAATTGCGAATAATAAACACATTTTAATCTTTTCAGGTATCTCACAAATATCATTATTATACTGTTACTGTTTCATAATAACGCTAACACTCTCCAGAGACTGTTACACAGTAAATCTTTCTCCTGTACGAAATGGCCCCATTGTTGGGGCTCTACTGTTCTAAAGCTGTATCTGACTTTAGCTCTTTTCCTCCTTCGATATCAGAGTTCCATATAAAGCTGACCAAAACTAAAGTAGACCTAACTTGGCTGTTTTCATTTTTAGATTAATGACATGAAAGATTATCTACTGACAATGAAAGTAATTAATGATTTTAAGTTGAATTATATTAATAAGAACTCAGGTATTCTCTTCACTTCTTCAACCTTCATCTTGGATGACAATTTCCTTCTGGCCTTCCTTACCCAAAAAATCATTATTGAAAAACATTTGCTAGGTTTGTCTTGTTAAAGAGTCACACCTTGCCAGACTGATGTTGACTGTTCTTTGTATTAACCTTTTACACAGAAAGCTTGCAAGAGAAAAAAAATGCGATTCTATATGAGGGGACCAGACTAGGAAGAACTTAATGGTCCATTTCTGCTCTAAAACTGTATGCTTCTATTCTTTAACAAAGTTTCTATAATTTATTCTTTTGTTGTATATTTGCCTCCTGAGTATGGAGCCTGTCTCACTCAGGTTTCCTGAAACTACACAGTAAGTTTTCTTTAGGGAGTCACAACTTCAGAAAAATATGCCTGTGATAATGAACGTGACTCACTTGAGGACACTATTTCATTCTCTTTCCACCTGCTCCTCTGCAAAGGAAAAAGGAGAAGAAAAAAAAAAAGGCAGAAGAGTATTTTCTATGTTTCTCTGAAATAAAGGTATTACAGAAGATTTGCACTAAAAGCTTTATTAAATCTTACTTGAGAACTTCTTTGAATCATAAACTTGTATGGTACCTACTTGAGGATTTTACAGTTTGGGTTCTACAAATTTTAGGATTTTATCATCAGATGTGGCAGTGAGAGCATTGTCTATTGAGAACAATACTGACAACAAATGGATGTGAAAATTCATTATTACAGTTAATCTAATTCTGTAATTGTCTAGATTACTTGAAGAAAGTGCTACCTTGTTTTATGCATGTCTATATTCATTTTCTTTGTGTAATACTAATAACTAATATGTGTAGCTAATTGCCACTATGGGGATATACTTTTTTTTATTAGGATTTATTTTTGCCATTTGATATTTTATTGATAAGAAACCCTTTACAATATGAACACATACACACAAAAATTGAGAGAGGGAAAAAAATGTCTATAAGCCTGAAATTCAATTGGAGGATTTTAATTAAAAATCTCACTCTTCACTATGAAATAGGATCATGTTGTACCTTTAAGGAACCATCACAATTTCAGTTCTGAATCTGCATCTACTAATCACTTTTATCACTGGAGCAAAAAAGCAAACTTTACATAAACTTTAAACTGCACATAATAACGAAGAAATTGCTAAATGAGATAAAGAAATATAATAAGGTGATAGTCAAGAAATGTGCATATAACCTGCTATAAAGATATCACATGATTTAGAAGTTTTTATCCACAAAAGACAATGAGTAGCTAATGGTGTGTTAAGCAGATTTGTTCTTTTGAAAATCGAATGCGGAGTTTTCCAAATGAAGAAAAAAAGAAAAAAAAACCTTCAAAAATGAAAAAATGCTTAGCCAACCCTGGTAATTCACTCATTATTTCTGTCTTCTTAGAAAGTTCTTAGAATTGATCCAATAAGTATAAATATCTGAATAAATTAAAACATTACAGAAAATAGAGAACCAGCTAAAGACCGCAATGAGCGCACGCTCACTCTGAAAGCAAGATAGGGACTCCTGGGACTTAGCCCATCATACTGAACTTGAAAAAGGTGTACAGAGAGCACTAACCATTCAGTTTGGGGGATCAAAAAAGGAGCACTAATTTAGCACCTCTGTGCTAAATGTGCTTTCCTTATCTATTCTTGTAGCTGAAGGAAACAAACATAAAAACCCCATTTAATATAAGTTTGGACAATTAGAAGTATATCGTTTTGAATGTCAACTTCAGCATTTCCCAAAGGACCAAGACCCACCTTCATCAGGATCATTTGGGGTGAGTATAAAATGCAGGTTGCTGGGTCACATCTGAGGTGCAGTGCATCTAACTCTCTGCGAAATATGGCCAGGAATCAGAATTTTACAGACCCTCCCCCCATCCATGTGACTGTCACTCACATTACTATTTGAGAGCCACTGCAATTACCACGATTTTTTGTTTGAAACTGATGATCAGTTATCGAAGTTTACCACTGAACCCTGCTTATATTTACACTGATATGACATGTAACAACTTTTACAGTTTACGTTTTATTTTCCCTTCTTGCTGTGGAACTATACATAGATGGCTATTTTCCCCATATTCAGTAACTGCTTTTAACTTTTGTATATTTTGTAAAATATATTAAATATTCACTTTTGATATAATTAAGAGTACATAGCAATGTGATTTCCTTCCAAAATTCACTTACCTTCAAATCTGTATGCTTATTCAGAAAGTTCTGAGCAGATACGATGGAAATTTCCAAGACTATATGCAGTGGATTCTCTAATTTCCACGTATTTCAAGGCTGGCCAACGAGACCCCAGAAGAAGACACCAGAAACGCCATGGAGATGGTAAGACACCAATGCCGGAGCCTCTGGGTACCTGGTTATCTCTGAACAGAACAGAAAAATAAGTAGTCAGTCACCTGAAATTCATAGAGAATCTGCTATGGAGAAGGTTATTTTCAGTAAACTGGCAGTGTTACTAAATTTAAACTTGGCCTGGGTTTGCTGCTCCCTGATTTAGCACAGTTGTCATTTAAAATTTCCCGTCATTGTGAAGGCAGAATTGCACGATGCTACTGCCTGCAGAGGACTCCGGTTGAATTCACGTGGCTTTGGCTTTAATTGACTATTTCTTCTAAACATTGCATCAAGTGGTATTACTAATTTTATTTTTGATATGCAGATGCTAGATTTTGGTGCTGAATTTCTTTCTAAGTCAAGGTTGATGAGTTCTCTTGGAAATACATCCTTACATGAGCCTCTCTCCCACATAAAATGTGATGATACTTTTACAAAATCCCAATGGAATCATCTGGTACTTTTGCTGTATTTTCTCTCACATGCGTAATGCTTGCCAGGATAATTAGACATAAACAAAAATAATATCTTTCTCGTCAATATGTGTTGCCTCCTCAGGGAAACCAAAATTCTAGCAGCATGCTGAATAAGTTAAGCAGACATTGGTAGGGGCTAATGGAAAAAAAGACTAAAACATCTCGTTTTAAAACTGGTAATTGACAGTGCAAATATTCTCCTAAAGAGTAGTGAAAGCAACATATACAGATAAATACAAAGTCAAATACGCAGTGACAAGAGTGTAATACACATGTAAGCATAGAGTACACTACAAAACAAGTTTTTCATAGAAGACATTAATGTTTGGCCACCCAGACACCCTTCCCAACTTTCTTCCTTCTTGCTATATTTCACAAATAGAGAACAGAAAATCATATAAAATGTTCACTTTTCCAGTTCCCTTACTGCTAAGAATGGTTACGTGATTCCATTCTGGCCCATTAGCTAGAAGGAGTATGCTGAGTAAAAAATCCAGGCAAAAATTTGCTTTATCGGAGAGGGAGACAAACCATGAGAGATTCTTAACTATAGGAAACAAACTGAGGGCTGCTGGAGAGGAAGTGGGTGGAGGGATGGGGTAATTGGGTGATGGGCATAAGGAGGGCACATGCATTGGTGGTATATGCAACTGATGAATTACTGAACTCTACATCTGAAACTAATGACGTACTATATGTTAGCTAACTGAATTTAAATAAAAAAAATTTGCTTTACTGATGAGAGATTCCTGTCCCTCCTCTCTATTTCACATAACTGCTTACCCTGAGTGATAAGGATGTGATATTTGCAGGCAGAGCAGTCATCTTATCATCATGATGTAAAACACAATGAAAACCCAGAAAAATGCAAAGATATAAGTCTTCTGTTGATGAGCAGCTGAACCAACACTATTGTTTCTTCTGGAATTCTATTTGTTTTACACTGCTGGGTTTTCCATTGCCTGCTAACAGAATCATTGCAGGTTGACAAAGTGTTGAAAAAACATTTGTTAAAAAGTAAATGCCATTGCTATAATTGAAGTGGTATCTATCTTTTTACATGATTATCTGCAAGTTCTCATTCTGTAGAGTCAAGGACAGCCTTCATTAGGTTGGTTAAGGTTGGAATTTGCCCCCTTTTTTACTTCTAGGAAAGCTGTACATGTGGGGAATAATGGGTCACAGGATGATGGTAACTAATTAGACCAAAATGAAATGGAAAGCCTAGTCTAGAGCTGGGTTTGGAGGAAGAGGGTCTAGTATCATGGATAATAAAAAGATCTCATCTTTGCTTCAGTGCCAAAGCTATCACACTAGTTGAAATCTCAATGGAAGAGTTTGAAATTCCATCAAAAAATTCATTCTTATTATCTTGTGATGTCCTATGGATTCTTTGTTTGAAATACTGTTTCATCCAACACTTCATTACTTCTTTTCATCAACATTTCTTACTCAGTCGCAGTCTGACCTTTTACTATCTCTTTCTTAGACTATTGCTGTAGACTCTTTAACAGATTCTCTTCTTCTTTTTTATTCTTAAACATTCCAGGATGTCCTATAATTACTTTAAGATTTAGCTCCTTAAAACATTTCTTCAGATCCCTCTTCCATTCAAAATCTAAGAGCTCCTTTTGGTCTACTGGATTAAGTCCAAGCTCCTTAAATTGGCATTTAAGTCTCCCCATAATATAGATAAAATTAATAGTAAAATATAGATTCTTCTAGATTTCCTATCTTCCTTCCCCAATACTCCACATGGTTTAGTAGGAGAATATGTCTTCACTGCAGAGGTGCACCCTAAGCAGCTTAAGATAATCTATGTATCTCAATCTTTACCAATAATATTGGGAATAAGCACATGACCTTAAGAGGTTAATGATCTCCATTCTGGGGTCTTCTTTGACCTATTATGTAAAAAACAACTTTTGCTTTTCTTGCTGGACATAAACATGTGATCATGGAACATTTGGAACTACTGGCAACCATCTTGGGATCATGAGAGAACTTGCCAGAACTTAAGTCGGCACCAAAGAAACAGCTGAGAAATAGAAAAAGAGGAGCTGGGACAGAGCATGTTGTTTCACCCCTGGACAGAGTTTTGCTTGTGGGTAGAATACTCTGAACTTCTCAGCTATGTGTGAATTTATAGACTCTTCTTAAAAAATTATTATTATTAAGCCAATCTGGGTTGGTATCCCCTGTTACGCACAACCAACAAGAACTTTGCAATATATTTTTTGTTTTTGCAGCTCTGCCATTTCAATCATATCTACTTCTCTCTTATTTCTATTCTTTCTTTAAGGAGATCCAGCCCTCTTCCTCCATGATACGTTTCCAGATTTTTCTAATTCATAGTGAGAGAACCCTACTGTAAACCACTTTATTTTTCATTGTATGTACTAATAAGAGCCCTCACCAAGAAATATGATGCTATCATTTCCTTATGACTCTCAAATCTTTAGCTTAACATATTTCCCCCTCTTTATCTCCAGACTTTTTACTTCTTAACTGACTAGATGACATCTCAACTTGGATGTCTTGAAGGCTCTGCAAACTGAATCCATCCATAACCAAATCCATAAAACCCTTTCTCTCAAGAACAGCTTTCCTCTAGTTTCCCTATTTTTTTTTTTTTAAATAGCACCGTCAACATCAGTTGGAGAAGCCAAAAACCAACATCTTCAACATTTTAAAACAGACTCAGAGTAGATTTGATTCTTCTTTTCTCCTTCAGCCCCAGGATTTGCGCATCAAGTCCTTTTGATTTATTTCCTAGTTCTCATCTACCTACTCTGTCCCAATTTTCTTTTTATATCACCTCCAAATTCTCTCTCTTGCTCCACCACCATCACCACCACCACTAAGATATTGTTGCCTGCAATGCTGCTTAGATGTCTTCCTTTCTCCCATCTCACATTTTGTTTCCCTCCAATATTTTCTCTTTGGGGTATTTAGAGTGATCTTTTAAAATTACACAGTGGAATATCAATCCCTTGTTTAAAAACCTTCAATGCCTTCCCACTGTTCTTAGGGTAAAGAACAAGGCCACATCACCCAATCCCTACCTAACTCTCCAGCCTCATATCCCTGGAAGACAGTGACCATTTCTGTTTTTAAATACACTCATGTTTTTAAAAACCCGACATTTAGCAGTGTTTGGCACAACAATAAATATTTGTTAAATGGATAATTGCTTTGCGTAACTCTTAAACCATGAACCACACTCTTATTTTTTCTTGTATATTTTATTTTCTGTATTACTTGTAAGTACACTGACGATAAGAAGTGTCATGTTTCTCTGTAACCTACAGCAGAATGCTATGTGAGTAGGAGGGGTTCAGAAGGTATTCAATTACATTGCTATAGATATTTCTACTCTGATTCCTTTTAAAAAGTTTGAAGTTTATCCTCTCACACAATGGATAGTTATCACTTTTCTATAAGATTAAAAATGAATAAGGGGAAATATATTATGTGCAAATAATGGAAGTGAGAAATAGAAAACTTGTTTCTGATCACGATTCTATGGAATTTGCAAAGATTAATTAGAAAGGACCTGTTCTTCTGCATCACATGGAAAATCTTCACATAAGCCCTGAGTTATGTGGACAAACACTCAAACATCATGTCATTTTTCAAATATTTTATATGTTTCTTCAGAAGTCTTTACCTTTGAAAAATATAAGCAAAAATTCAATACTTTAAATAATTAACAGCTGAAGTCTTTTTGGGTAGAGACTAATTTTGAAAAATAGTTACCACAAGTACAAATTAATTCTTAGTTATTGGATATTTATGTGAAAATGCAAAAACAACTTCAGAGATTCAAAGATAGGTATGAAATTTTAGACTATGCTATAAACTGATAATACCCAAAATAAGAGAAATATTTCTTAGGGTAGCCTAAAATGAGAACACACATGAGCAACCCAAAAGCAATGAAACAGGAAGCTTCTGATCTATTCGTTGTGGCTAGATAACGTTTTCCAAGTTGGGGAATGACAAACGAAATTAGGATTGAGGGGATCTAGAAGGAGGAAAGTCCAGGACATAAAAGAGTAGACAATATGAATTTTCTACCTGAAAAAAATTCTTGAGCAGAATTGACCTGTTTCTTAAAAATTAGTTGAAGTTTGCCTAAGGGATATTTATATAAGAGATAATTGCCTTTGGGTTTCTATAGGTCTGTTGTTCAGTTATAAGTATCTTCCAGTTTTCTCAGGATATTGAATCTGTTAGGGAGTTTGTAAAAATTATTTAAAAAAGGAAAGAAATAAGAGAAAAGGAACTTTTTTTCATGGAATGCATTTTGAGAATGACTACAAATAGTTGTCCTAAAAATCAGAGAGCAGGATAGTTTACAGTTTTTCCTCTAGGGTATTAAAAGATATTTTAGGAGAGCAGTGATACATGATTTAATATTTTACTGCTTTTCAAGCAAGATAAGAAATGCTACCAAGGTATAGACATGATTTTTTTTTTTTCTGTAACCTAAGTCCCAAGGGATAGGCTCAGGTGGCACTGTTTATTTTGCTCCTCTTTGATAAATAAAAGGTGAGCTTAACTACATGATGGAAAGACAGAACCTATGCTCTTCTTCTTTACATATGCTGCTTTCCTGTATAAAGGAATAATGATTTTCTTTTTTTTTTTTTTTTT